AACGGCATCAACGAGGCCTCGCACGTCGAGCTAAAGAATGTGCTGCACGCAATGTGGCAAGAAGGGCAGAGAGATGTAGGGAAGATGCTGGACTCAGCCACCCGCCTCCACAACATCACGCCGCACTCAGCGATAGGTACCTCACCGTACGAGGCGTTGTTCGGTAAATCCCCAGTGCTCGACGCCCTGCAAGAGATGACACCGTCAATGACGGAGGAGGAGCCTGGGGGGACTCACAACATGCGGCTCCGAGAGCGAATGACGGAGGTAATGCTCAGGGAGTGCCCCCTGGAAAAAGATAGTCCAAACGACCTCAAACAAGGAGACCTAGTGGTAGTTCTTAATGACCCAGGCTCCGCAGCCTCGTCGCTCAATGGCCCAGAGACGCCCAGATGGTTCGCGCCACGTTGGTCACTCCCGATGAAGATCGTAGGGATCGAGCGGACACAGGTAGAGGTAGAGCGATACGGACAGCCAGGCTCAACGTTCAACGTACACAAGGAAAAAGTCCGAAAGTTTAAGAAAAGCGAGGATCCCGAGCTAGAAACGTTGACGAGGGAGTACCTGGAGAGGGTGGGCGACGAGCCGGAGGGGCTGGTAGAGGAAAAGAGTACGTACAGGCGCCTCAGGATCTATATTGACCCAAAGACCCGCGAAGGTCTGGAGCACTTCCTCGGGATTCCTGCGGTCCCGTATTGAGCTAGGAGGGGGGTTGGTGCGTCGAGACATAACAGCTCAATGACGGGTCGGCAACGGGGTTTTTGATATAAGGGAGACAGAGGGCAACATGGCGACACACACTCCTGACACGATGCCCCTATTCCGCGACTCAGACGACGAGCTCAGCATTAGCAGGCCGGTCCCCAGCACCCACCAGGACACACCAACATGGGCAGAATCACATCTGCATTCTTTGGCTAGCCTTCTGCACCTTCATGAACAAGTCGCGTAGAACTCGGGTCTATGACCTCAAAGGGCGGTGCTATCAGCCTGCACTGCAGCTCGAAGCCTCCGCCTTTCGCTGTCGGTGGTTTGGTGAGCACCAGGGCACGTTTATGGCGCTCTCGCGTCGAGTAGGTGGGTTATGGTGAACCTTTCTCCCATGGACCGAGATCCCTCTTCTGACCATCCGGGTAACATGGGCTCTCTACCGGTTACGGCTAACATCGCTGAGACCCACCCTGGCCCTTACCGATCACCGCAATCTCACTTTCCCAGCGAAGGCTGAGACAGGCAAGGTAGGTCGATGGGCTCTGTTCCTCCAGCAGCAGTACGACTTAAAGTTCAGTTCCATCCCGGGAGACAACAACTACGTCGACGATGCCCTGTCTAGGC